GAGGATATATAAAAGATGAAAGCAGTGAAGTCGAATCCGTAATCTCCCATCCCAAACCTTGACCCAAATTATATGCTGATAATAACCGACCCCGGCCCGTCAAAGGCAGTCATGAGTTGCGGCCCTGACCACGCTGTTGTTCGTCGCCGCTGGAGTATTGGCCGGCGGAATCCGTAGGGGATGTCGATGCTGAGGTGGATGCTGCAACCAAGCGCTGTCAGCAACACTGACGACCGTGGCAGATATTGTCCAGCTGGGAATTCTCACCTGACTGGTAGAACCGGTCCCCTCGTTGCGCCGAAGGAGACCTTGTGTTGTTGCCGTCGAGGACCAAAGACTGTCGGGCTTTGAGGCGTTCCTCAGCTTCCCGGATCCTAGCCTGAAGCTGTTCTAATTCTCGCTCCTGAATCATCATTTGGTGTCTCCTATGGTTGACAGGCTTGTCAGTTTCGCCGCATCGACACAAGCTTAGAAGCGAGACAAGATCGCAAATCATCAACAACCCAAGTGGAACCTACTTTTGATCGATGGTCTGTGAAAGGTGATTGACATCGGAATCAAGCGAAAAGGCGCTATCCAGCGCGGTTGAGAAGGCTTGTGCCATGGTCCTGCCACGTCTTGGTCAACACCAACGTTGGGGAGAGAAGAAGGTCGCAAGAGAGGAGAACGAACGACTGTGGACGGTTCTTGGGCTTCCATTCTTGATCGATGTCCGACATTTTGTTTAGTGGTTGTCAAGGGCGTTGGTTATGGAGCACTGGTATGGAGGATCGAAGCGAAAGGGGGGTAAGATGAATGCGAGAAGGTTAGGAAGGGGGGGAAAAGGAGTATGTGAAATGAAGTCCAAGACGTGGGAAGGAGTTTAGAAGCGCGCGCGTCAAGAACGGAACAGGGGGTTATTAAGTGGATATGATAGCACGGACGGGGTGGACCTTGCGCTCAGAGTATTCGAGAGTGGACAAGGCGAGGAAGAAAAATCACCGAAGATTCGAAGAAATTGATTATATAGAAGCTTTGATGACGGAGACCAGGACCGGCCGGGATCTAAGTAATAACTATAAAAGGGGGCAGCGAGGACTCGAGCGATGGCTGGAGGGGGAAATCGGCAAAATTGCGGACGCCGTCGCACTACTGGAGACCGGGCAGGTAGGGAGGGACCACTTTTGGGTTATTGAGTCCGATGGGGATGGATGGATAATGACAGGGGCTGCACGATCGGCGGGGATGACGATGGCAAGCGCTGGGGGGAAAGATGGAGGTGGGATGCAGGGCCGTCCGCGGCTTTAATTTCGTCGCAGGTAAAGAAGCAGCCGTCGAAAGGCGATGGAAGCGATGGCGAAGAAAGAAGGAGAGTGATGGAAGGATAGACGGAGGGTGCTGGGTGTCAGGTCTGTGTCAAAGAATAGTCAATTTAGGTAAGTTGAAACTCATCCATGGGTGGTTCGGGTGCTCCATGATTGCCTTTGAAGGTAAATAGTGCAGCTCCATCCTGCTCACTAGTTGGGCGGTAGTGGAATTGCATCGTCCACTCTGCCTGGAAGGTGCCCCTGAATCCCGTCCCATCCTTCCATGACGGAGCCGCAACCAATGGGAAATTATACTGTCACGTGAGAGCGGATCTGCCCCTGTTTTGAGTCTTTGTGAGGGCCACTCACCATGACTGCCTTGCTGCCACCCCCCCGCCCCTCTTTATTGCCACCCGGCCACTCGCTTCTTTCCTATTGCAGATCCCAGTGCCATCAATCTATACACCTTGTTGCACGACGCCGTTTTTAATTTTAAACCCTGAAACATTGCAACTACGGTGGCCATACTATACTATCTCCTCACGGGGCCTTTCCACACGGGCTTATGGACTGTCAGTATCAACGTCCGCGTCTTCCTATGCATGCCCTTTTAATCACATCCTGATCGTGATCGGCCTTGGAAGAGTTGCTTTTTCCTTGGATGTGCCCATTAGAGATACTCGCATAGGTAGTGACCAATAAAGACTGCCAAAGACACCAATTTTGGTACACCACTCCAGCTATTGATATTTACATGTCAAATTTCTAGCAAAGCAAGCTCCAGAAGATCGCAACCTTACCGTTTAGCCCATCGCGATTATGCATGTCACTTACGAGAGCGGCCACTAATGCGGTGATCCCTATTCTTCCCTCTCAGCTTGGTTCTGCTTGCCAGAAATAGAATAGGACTCGGCTTGTACGCGGAGTCGGAGTCAGCTCAACTGCAAGTATGAATGAGCTAGCTCCTATTTTGCATTCCAGGAAGGGTTTGGTAGCATCTGGCGTTTCAGGCACCGATGCTCAGTTTGGGATATTACATCGATCTGTCTTTGATCTGTCTATAGGCCTGGTCCAGAGTATTTATAGCTGGGACGATCGGTTTACATATCACAGATGTGCTGCAAGACGTCCGTGTGTACCTGCATATAACTATTTTCGGATTGCACAACATTCTTCCTCACCAAGTTCATCGGGCTGACTATGGGCAGCCTGCTATTACAAAACTTACTACGGAGCACCCAGAAACTATCGCATAATGACCTTGCTCGGAATATAGACTCCTTTCCCCTTGTTTGGTACAGGAAAACGAAGAGAAACTCGGCCCGAAGACATGCACGAAGCCGAACCTCCAATCCAGCAGGGCAGCGGCTACATATCTGGAAGTTGGCAAAACTTTGGTGACCTGATTCACAGAACACCCGCTGAATATGTGGCCAACATCATGGTTACTGAATCAGGTGACGAGTAAGTCTTATTAAAATGCCGCACGCTGCGCGGATCCGACGGCAAATCCTGAAGGATGCAACAAAAGAGGGTCTCTAAAACATCAAACTAAGTCCGGGTGGAAGGTAACATCAATCATGTATAGCTAATCGTGAAGCAATCCTCTGGTGATACCGACGGCCTGCCATGCGAGTGTACTCTCCATTCATCCTCTATCAATATGAGTACCTGGTATTTTTGACTGGATTAATCACACCTGAGCCCCGAGCTTACCTTGACCAGGCTTCATTTTTGAACATATTTCTTTTACGGTAGGCTTGATTCTCAATGTAGCTATAAACGAATTAGATCCTTTTGGTGATACCGTATGGATGTAGAAGCTGTGTTTCTCGCTCATCTGCGTTGTATGCGTTGCTGCGCATCAAAGCCTCGGGAATGTATGATACGGACGGCATGCCGGTGAGCAGCTCCGCTTCCAACTTTCGCAGTAGATGTGGCTGGTCTATGTTGGGATAAATCCTACTCAGTGATCTAGGCTGAGAGAAGCTAGCTTAACCATGGAATTAACATCATCTCGGACATAACGGATAAGTACCTCCGAGCATGTCGGAGGTGGCAGCTCATGCCCCGCTATTTAGTCCCCTTCCCCTCATCCCTCCGGTCAACATTGCTGTCATTTTTCACAGCTCAATACTCCAAGTTTCTTTTCGGCCCACAGCATAAATCGTCGATAAGCAATCATGGCATCCCTCCCCGCTGGAAGCTGCTGTTACCAAGGCGTCAAGCACGAAGGTGAAGCCAAGGGTAGCTTCTCGCAGCTCAACGATTTCGAGATCTACACCAGCTCTCCTGCTGACAAGTCCACCGAGAATGGTATCTTGGTGTATGTACTGCCTTTAGCAATGCCCCAAACAGATCAAACTAACAAAAGGAAGCATCACGGATGTGATCGGCCATCGATTCATCAACGCCCAGCTCATTGCCGACCAGTTTGCTGCCAATGGCTACTTCGTTATGATGCCTGACCTCTTCGATAACGACGCCATCCCTCTCAACCGCCCTGACGGCTTTGATATCATGGCATGGAAGGGTGGCGCATACCACAAGGACAAGAAGCCCCATACTCCCGAGGTCGTCGATCCCATCATCGAGGCATGCATCAAGGAGATGAGGACCAAGTATGGATGCAAGGTATGGCTTCCACGAGTGAGTTGAAGTGACTCAGAAAGATATTAACATCTATCAGAAAATCGGTGCCGTGGGTTACTGCTTCGGTGGCAAGTACGTTGTGCGCCATCTCCGCCCCGGCCAGATCGATGCTGGATACACCGCCCACCCTTCCTTCGTCGAGTCGGAGGAGCTGAAGGCCATCAAGGGCCCTCTGGCTATTGCTGCTGCAGAGACTGATGCTATCTTCCCCGCTGAGAAGCGCCATGAATCCGAAGAGATCCTGAAGGACTCGGGTCTCCCTTACCAGATCAACCTTTACAGCGGCGTTGCGCACGGCTTTGCTGTCCGTGGAGACCCTGCCAACCGCACGGTGCAGTATGCTAAGGAGAATGCTTTCTTGCAGGCTGTCCAGTGGTTCAAGGAGCACTTGTAGTGGTGTGGACTTTGTCTAAGATAACCTACCTGAAATGGGAGATATGATGACTTCAATGGAATGTAGGCTATATGGCAATTTATATCAAAAAATGTTAGACCTTCTCAATCTATGTCAATCGATTTTATTCGAAAAAATATGTGACGCGCCACTATCATAGAACACTGATACTCGAAGATAGTCTTCGCGTTAAATCCCCAATCTCAGGTAAAGCAGAACTAGGACATTTTCCACTTGCCGCATAGCTTGACGTTGAAATAACCTCTTCAGAGTACTACTTCGGTTCTCTATATTCAAAAGTATACTTCCGCTAGCTATGAGTTATAGTAAGGCCAATATTGCGCAAAAAGCATAGTACAATGCAGAAGACGCTAGCATCTATTCCACCAATGGGGGCTGTGAACGGGAGCATGTCAATGATAGGGCGTCGCTGACATGGCCCAAGCGCAGTTCACAGTACCTGATCAATATAAGATAGGTTTTTCTGTTGATTTCAATCTTTGAGGATAGGGGATAGGAAATACTTATACAGAAATTACTCGTTCAATCCGGTTACCCAGACTACATACTTTCTGCATTTATGCATGCCGTCTAAACATACTATGATATAGGAAATCGCTCTTCTTCACTTTCAATTGCATACTATCTTTTTTGTCATAGTATCCATCATGGTCAGACTATCAGGCCAGGAAGATTTTCCTAACGAAAAACCCCATGATCCAACAAACCAGTCTTCTGCCTCTCTCCCACCCATCGATCACGGCAAAGATGCCTGGTTCTTCCTCGCCGCCTGCTTTGTCATGGAAGCCCTAGTCTGGGGGTTCGCCTTCACCTACGGTGTCTTCCAAGACTACTACAGCACACTCCCCATGTTCCAAAACTCCAACAACATCGCCATCATCGGTACATGCGCAATGGTAAGTCAGCCTTTTCATCCCTCTCCCCCCAAACTAACACAAGCACCCCAAAACAGGGAATAATGTACCTCGACCTCCCCATAATCTTCACCCTCTACCGCACCTACCCTCACTACCAACGTTTGGGCTGCGCCCTCGGCGTCCTAACCATGTGTCTCTCACTGGGCCTCTCCTCCCTCTCCACAACCACCACCCACCTGATCATCTCCCAAGGCATCTTCTATGCCATCGGCGGAAGCATCGCCTACTCGCCCTGCATCCTCCTAATGGAAGACTGGTTCGACCAACGCCGAGGCTTCGCCTTCGGCGTCATGTGGGCCGGCACCGGTCTAGGCGGCGCGATCCTCCCCATCGTCATGGAGACGCTCCTCGATCGATACGGATTCCGGATAGCGTTGCGCGGGTTCGCAGTCGTGCTCTTCGTGCTGACAGCCCCGTTAGTCTGGTTCGTTAAGCCTAGAGTGCCGCCTGCATTGCGGAATAGTACCGACCCAGCACAACAGCAACAACAATCACCACGACCACGACTCACGGAGATCCGATTCCTCTGGACCTCAGGAACATTCCTCCTCTTCGAGCTATTCAACATGATCGAAGCCGTGGGGTACTTCCTCCCGTCTATCTACCTACCTTCATATGCAAGAGCCATCGGCGTCTCGTCTGGCAGTTTGGAAGCTCTCACGGTGATATTATTTAACGTTGCGTCCGTGGTAGGGTGCGTAGTCATGGGGGCTATTATCGACCGGTGGGATGTGACGACCTGCATTCTAGTCTCGACTGTGGGATCGACCGTGGGTGTGTTTCTGATCTGGGGGTTTAGTGTTTCGATTGGTCCGTTGTTTGTCTTTGCTATCGTGTATGGGCTTTTTGCAGGCTCGTATACGAGTACTTGGCCGGGCATTATGAGGGAGGTGGTCAGGAAGGATGGTGCCGCTGAGTCGAGTATGGTGTTCGCTTGTTTGGCGGCTGGTAGGGGTGTTGGGAATATTGTCTCCGGACCGTTGAGTGAGGCGTTGTTGGAGGGGATGCCCTGGGCTGGGGAGTTGGGGTTCGGGTTTGGGTCTGGGTATGGTAGTTTGATTGTTTTTACGGGCGTGACGGGGTTGGTCGGGGGTGGGAGTTGGGTTGTTAGGAGGGTGGGGTGGTTGTGATTGCTATGTAGGGAAGATCAGTAAGGATAAAAGTATGTATGTTTTTTTTGAGTTGTTGTGGATGTGTAGATGGATGTTTACATGGATGGATTGTTGGTTGTCATTGTATAGTAGCTTCAGCTGGTCTGTGGCTATACGTCTCCTACATGGTCAGCCTTATTTGGAACAGTGCCATTTTCACATGTCACAACACCATCAAATAGGAGTTGACATGGAATTAATCGCTTCTATCCCTGACTAGTAGCCAACTGGTCACTTTACTGTTGTGGCTGACTACTACTAGTAGCAATTACTACGGACCCTTCCGCCCCAATGTCAGCCCGATTCCTGATATAGTTAACGTTAACATCTACTCTGCACTAGCTTCTTTATCTTGGGCAGAGAATCTCAGCCCGTACTTCGACTCAACACCAGAAAACAACGAACAGAAGCCACAAAAGTCATCATTACTTTGAGATAAGAATGCGTTCTACAAAGACATACCTCCCCACAGAAATACTCCGCCAGATCATCCACCACCTCCTACCTCAACTGTATCTGCCGGAGTTGTTGCGTGCGAGAAAAGTGAATAGTGCGTGACGACCATCCAGTAATTCTCCCAGGAGGATCAAAACTGACAGAATAGCAGGCCTCTTTAATGAAGAGATCATCAACTATCTCATAAATGGCGAGGATCTGGAAGAGTTATTTACTTTCTTGACTAAAGAGAAACTGGACTCATCACCATGGGGTACTTTTCCTGATCGACTGAAACGGCTTTACCTGCAGCGAAAGTTACGAGAGCATTCGCACAGACCGTGTGCTTTTACGTATTTCGTGCAGGAGGTGATAGAGTACCAGTTGGGGGATGCTCCTGCGTTGGAGGACAAGGATAAATTGACTGAGGGTTTGATTGATGTGGCGATAGCGGGGAACAACGATCCATCAAACATGTTCCATAGCCTGGTATGTCAGTGGTGGATTGATAAAGTGAACGACAGGTTCAATGAGCCGATTGAAAAGTCGATGCCGATTATCTTGGCCTGTATGGCTATCTTACGGGGGGACTGTGCGGAACTGAGTACAGCACTGCGGAACGGTTTGGATCCACAGCAGCCATGTCTACGATTTGGGGTCATCCCGATAAGTGTCGCAGCTCAAAGAGGGAACAGAGAGATCGCTAAAACTATGGTGGAGCATGGATGTTCCATGTGGTACACCTGGATCTATAGAATCCCCATGAGTGCTTTGGCCATGGCTGCGATATCTCGGAACACAGAGGCGCTGGGATTATGGCTTGAGCATCATCACCAAGAGGAACACGCTGACCCTACTAAGCCATTTTATGTATGCAGGCAAGCATTAGAGAAATTGGCGCGCAGGGGCGATGTAGAGCTGATGGAGTTCTTTGTGGAGCGGTATCCCCGGGTATTGAATGATCTCCTGAGGCCGTTGCGGCTGGCTGTTTGCTTCACACAGTTTGCAGCGGTGCGATGGCTGTTTGCTCGTCTCAGCGCTCCTCTTACACCTGAACAGGGTAGACTGTTGCTGCTCAGCGCTATGGAAGGCCCCTGCGCCTGGCAGCGAATATCACAGATGGTGCAGCTGCTTCTGGAACTTGGAGTTAGTCCAAATGGGGAGTCTCGGCATAGGACGCCATTGCAAAAGGCCGTGATAGCTGGACAAGAAGAGATTGCCGAGATACTGTTGCAGTATGGAGCGGATGTAAATGAATATCATCCGCGTAGCGCGACAGTGGGTAGACAAGCCCCGCTGATGTTAGCCGTCCGGCAACGGTCTGTGTCTATGGTTCGGCTGCTCTTGAGAAACGGAGCAAATCGAACATATGTCATGAAGCGCAAAAGGTACACGATCCATAAAAATGGGGGACAAGTCCAAAATATGGAAAATGCGCTGATTGGGCTTGGATGGGAGGAAGAGCAGGTGAGGAGAGATGAAGGCTGGGACTACTGGGTGCTCTCGGAAAAGCTGCCGCCAGTGACACCGAAGCAGGAAAACAAGTCCGGCGTGCCCGGAAAGGCATTCCAGTCCCCCACGTGACCCAAGAGCAGCCAGCTCCCGTTTGGGGGAAGAAACGAAAGGGGAGGGACTCCCATTCTGGAGGAAACAGAGTCCTTTCCTCCCGGTGAATTGCCCGCAAAGGTGATGCCATCCCATCCCCATCCCATCCTATCCCTCCCCCCGTCCGTCCCCTTCAGCCATCCATCCCCAGTCCCCGTCATCTCGCCTATCCTTTCCATCACTCTTTATTCACGATCCCATTACCGCTGTACGTAATTCAAATTTAGCTTCTTTTTTTCCAATCCCACGGCCTCCCTTTCGCGACTCTATCGCGTTCTCCATCCTTTTTGACCTTCCCTCCGATTTTTCCCTTGCGGTCGCCCTTCATTTTTCTGCGCGGATGGTCTGAACCGCTACCCCGACTTTCGCTCACGTTCGCGTCTTGTCGGCCTTGAATCTCAGGTATCCGTCTCTCATCCTGCTTCGGTGCTACCCACGACTCTATCCAGTAGTACGACGAGGGACTTTGTCGCCTTTCGGACTGAGCTCGTCGGGCCGACAATCCTGCGATTACTCCTATCACCGTGGCCCCAATCCCCAAATACTTCCCCCCCAGTGGCCGATTCGACGGGCAATGGGGGATGCCTCCTCTATCGGTCTACACGCCTTTTGAATCCCTCCTCTTCTTCCAGTCTCTCGCCGGCCTAGAATCCCCTCCCGCGAACTTCGTCTCCATCTCCGATGTGCTCCGCAACAACCCCTTCATTCGAGAGAATGCCGCCTACGATGCGGCAAGGCTCAGCCCCGAAGCCTTGGAGGATCTCTATGCGACGCTGATGCGAGATGGCTGGGATTCAGCAAACGCGGGACCCAACGGTCACCATGCTGAGAGCCCGGCCCCCAATAACCCCAAGAAGCGCAAGATATCCAGCCCTCGAGCGGACGGACTGGCGGACAAAGGTTACAACCACGCCAGCAAAGTGCCCAGGCTAGTGTCGCACCTATATGCCAGATACAAGGAGCTGGTAACGCGGGAGATTCAGAACGAAGAGCAGAGATATAGGGATATTAGGAAAGAGATCGATCAGCTACAGGCGGAGGAACGCGATGCGCTCTCGGAGACCTCCGCAAGACCTCCACCAGCGCAACCGATTGCGCCCGCCAAGCAGGAGCCCGCTCCAGAACCGATGGATGTGGATGTGAAGGAACAGAAGCCACTTCAACGACCCCGCGATGAAGCTATGCCAGCTGCGACCCCGCCGGTAGCTGCTGATGTTAAGCAGCCTCCACTGGAACCGCAGCGGAAGGAGCTGGATTCAAGCAAGCAGCCCGCGCAACCTGTCGCGCGCCCACCGCAGGAACCCCAGCCTCTGGCCGCGCCGTCGGTACAGCCCGTCGAACTGCCACCGACAAACAAGGCAAAGCTCCAGCAACAGCCTCAGCCTCAGCCACTGCCGCAACAACAACCTCAACAGCCGTTACAACCGGCACCTCGTCCTCAGCCCAACCCTCAGGTAGCGACAGGTCGGCCGCCTCAGCAGCCACCAGCCCCGAATGGAAAGGCGTTCCCGACACCATCACAACCAGCTATTGTGCCCAAGAATGCCCCTGTAAACCACGCACCAGCGGCCGCGCCACCGGCTCCGTCGCCAAGACCGCCCAATGCCTCAGTTCCCAGCCCGGGTGTCGCACGCCCTCCCGCTGTTACACCTTCGCAAGCTCCACAGAAAGCAAGTGTGCCAGTCCCTTCCACCCCGCAACAGCCAGTTCTGGCCAGCAAGCCCTCTGCCAAGGAAGGACAGTCTGTTCCAGCTGCTAGCCCGGCGCCTCAGCGACCTCCGCCCCAGGCTAGTTTCCAGCAGTGGTCTCTAAACAAACCTCCACAAACGCCACAACCTCCCCCAGCATTCGCAAAGCCGAAACCAGAGCCGACGAACGCCGCTGTTTCTGGGCGACCGGTTCAGTCTCCCTTCCCTCCACCCACCCCAGCCTTCGAAAACAAGAAGGGACCGCAAGGACCACGCCCAACACCTGCTCCGTCAACTCCAGGACCTGTGCCTGCGACCGCCCACACACCTGCCCAGAACATTCCACCACCCGCGTTCCAGACCCCGGTTGGACCTGCGCAGGGTTCCATCCTTTCGCGGCCACCGAGCACGCGGCCTCTCCGGCCTTCGATCGACACGGGCGTTCTTACACCTGGCTCTCTCACACCATGGAAGCGGACTCCACGGCTGAGTATCCCCCACTCTCCTCGTTCGCCCGAACGGCCACGGCCTGAGGAGATCAGTCCTATCAGTGAGAAAGCGCCGTCTTTGCCGGGTTCTCGTGAGCCGACACCAGAGGAGCCTGAGCCCCGCCGTCGAAAGCGGAGGACCGAGACGAAAGGCAATGGAACTGGCGCTGATCAGACACTGTCGATTGATGCAGAGAGCAAGGGAGGGACTAAACGGAAGAGTGAGAGGGGAACGCTGTCTAGCGGTAAGGACCGTGACAGAAGCACAGCGTCGTCCCGAAGCCGAGGAAGGTCTGTGTTGTCGCGGGACGAAGAGTCCACAGCGGATACGGGGACTGGCTCCCAGGCGAAAATCAAGCATGAAGTACCCAGTACTCCAGCTGGTATCTCAGAAATGGCAGAGCCCGAACGTCCTTCGGTCAGTCGGCCGAGCAGGGGGCGGCCGAAGCGCAAGCGTGCTCCGAGTGAGAGCCTAGAGGCCGAACCTACTCAGTCGGAGCTTAGCCAGCTCACTCGCGTTGATCCTAATCAGTCGACGTCGTATGTAGTCTGCGCGCGCAACTTCCCCCGGACCGGAGCTCCCATCATGAGTGAGCTTAGCATGCACAAGGTTGCAGGCACCTTTTCAAAGCCGCTGACAGAACGTGACGCACCGGGATACCGCGATCTTATCTACCGGCCGCAAGATATCAAGACCATCAAGTCGCTGATTCACCAGGGTAGCAGGGCGCTGGCGGCAGCTACAGAGGCCGCGAGCACACCGGCAGGCGACGGGGAATCACCGGCGCCGGGTACAGGGACTCCTTCGAAGAATGCAGTCCTTATGTTGCAAAAGACAGAGGACATTATTCCCCCGAAGGGTATTGTGAATTCGGCGCAGCTGGAGAAGGAGTTGATCCGTATGTTCGCCAACGCCGTGATGTTTAACCCTATCCCTCAACGTGGCTTTGGGCCTGCCTTCCCTATGATCAGCGATAGCGGGTCAAGAGAGAGCACGCAGGTTCCCGAACAGGAAGAGGGCGGTATCATCAAGGATACGCTGGAAATGTTCGAAGATGTCGAGCAAGCCGTTACGCGATGGCGCGCGGCGGAGCGGACGGCGGACGAGTTCGCCAGCAAGAGCATCCTCTCGCTGCGGCGAGGAAGTGCCAGTGACCTCAACACGGATAGTGCGGATGAGGTCAAAGGGTCATGAACGATGTATGCCGCACTGTAGCGTACTTGATTGATGTATTATTATTATTATTATTACCCACATGTTCGGAAAATAGACGAATGCTTCCCACATGTTCCGCAAAGAGAACATGGTAATTCTATTCCATAACCATGAGCTTTTGTATCCCAGACAAACTTAAATCACATCTATAGTCATTCATATGCATCATGCAAAAACATCACTTGACATCATCATAAACCTCACGCCGCAATCGCCTGACTCGGCTTCGTCCTCCCCAGCCCCTCCTTCGCATAAAAGTCCATCGGATACACTCCGTTATTCTCCGTCTCCCACCCCTCCCTCACCCCCAACGCAATCAACGCCTCATACGGCGTCAACAACGGCCTCGCAAACGCATATCCCCAATCAATACTCAACCGCGGACAAGCAATCTGCACCCAGCACTCCACATCCGCCATGGACGCCAACTTCCCGGGGAAAATCTCACTCAAGAGGAGATTCACAAACGGAATGCCCCTCTCATTCAAATGCTTCTCAATCATCGCCATCGTATTCGGATTCCCCTGCCGTCCCAACGACCCCAGAATAATCCCCCACTTCTTCGCCGTCTTCGCCGTATTGATCGCATCCCGGCGCAGCGTGTGCATCTCATCATGAACATACGTCTCCCTGGACAACGTCCTCGAATACGGATCATACCGATACGCCGGAATAGCCGGGTTATGGATCATCGCGGACTCGAGATGGAAGCGGCCGTCGCCGAGGTAGAGAAGGATATCGACTTCGTCAGCGGAGAGGGTCGGGGATGTACATCCTAGGATTTCTCCCTTGGAGAGAGGCATGATCTGCGGGATGAGGACCTTGAAGCCTGCGCGCTCGAGAACGGGTTTCAGGCCGTGGAGAGTAGCGTTGAATTGGATTGTGCCGACAGTGGCGATGGTTTTTCCGGGTTGGAAGTTGCGTTCGAGTGTGGCGATTAGGTGGGTGGTGTCGATGCTGATGTCGACGAAGATGTAGAGGGTTTTGATTTTGGTTACGTCTACTGGGATCAGGCAGCTGTGGGCGTAGTGGACGAGGAGGTCGCACCCCAGTGCGCGCGCTGTGTAGTCGTCGATGCAGCAGGCGCCGTAGGTCACGTCGCCCATAATGAGGGTTTCGATGCCCGGGCAGAATTGGGTGAGGATGTCGGAGATTGTGGTAGCGAAGATGAGAAGGCCTTCGGGAAATTGGAGAGCCACGCGTTTGGCGCCGGAGGTGCGGATGCGGTGGATTGTTTTGGGGATCTCGAAGGAGTAGTTGCGTGGGAGGAGTTCGATGGCGGCGAGGATTTCGGGGTCTTCGAGGATCTCCGGCGGGACTTGATTTAGGGTGCGAGGGGTGCGGCGGGGGGCGGCTGTATATCGATTATAGTGTCAGTTTGTTGGGAAGTTGGTGGTGAAGTTGTGAACGCATGTAGTGTTGGCTGATGGAGGGGTACTGACCCTTTTGTATACTGGTTGTCTCGACATTTTGTGCGGTGGGTGCATCCTTCTGTGCTTGGGCGTCTGCTGTTCGGCGACCGACGAATCTCTTCTTGGGCTGTCGCAAGGGGACGCTCGATGGCGCGGAGTCTTCAGGTATGCCGTTCATGGTGTAATATGGGTGTGATGGAGGGCGATATGGAGCAGCGATAAAGTGACTCCAAAGTGGGATGATGGATATTTTAGGCTGAGTCAGCAGGGCGGGTCAGGTGGGGTCACGCCGTTCGGCCTCGGTCGGTTCTCCGCATTCCGCAGGACGAGCTGATCAGTTCATCCTGCCATCACCACTTCTCCTCCTCTTTTCCAGGGAGCTGTCGCGCGGTTTGAATATTCTTCCATAGTGCTTAGGAGCTTCTTGTACATGTCTCACAGCTGATATCAATTGCCAAAATGATGACCTTCCGACCTCGAATGAGCCTCTTCTCTGCCCTTCGCACGGCCCCAGCTCGACGCCGCTTTGCGACTGAGGCGCGGTTAACCACGGACCATGTTCGCATCGTCGAAGTAGGGCCACGAGATGGTCTACAGAACGAGAAAAAGTCGATCCCACTTGAGACAAAGCTCCAGCTTATTGAGAAGCTGGCTAAAACGGGTGTAACTACAATTGAGGCTGGATCTTTTGTCCCAGCGAAATGGGTGCCCCAGGTACGGACAGCCCGCATCCGGATTGAGTAGCAACGACGCCGTTCCTTCTTGGACTACAAGACTAACATGCATATGTATGATAGATGGCCAGCACTGCAGAGATCTGCGAGCACCTCCTCCAGACTCCCCCACAGTCACAGAATGCCATTGCCTACAACTACCTCGTTCCTAATGTGCGGGGTCTAGAGAACCTCATCAAAGTTATGGATGCCACAGGCGTCCCGGCAGACACGACAGGCTCTGCTACGAAACCTCCGACAACAACCGAGGTATCCGTGTTTGTAGCAGCAACAGAGGCATTCTCCAAGGCCAACATCAACTGCACAATCGAGGAGTCACTCGAACGCACCCGTCCGATTGTCTCGTTAGCAAAGACGAAGAACATCCGAGTGAGAGGCTACGTTTCTGTTACTCTGGGCTGCCCGTACGAGGGTCCCGATGTATCACCAGCCAAGGTAGCTGATATCACGGCAACGCTACTTGAAATGGGAGCCGACGAGGTGTCGGTGGCTGATACTACGGGCATGGGCACGGCACCCCGTACTATGAAGCTCCTGCAGGCTCTGAAGGCGGCCGGTATTGCGAATAACGATCTGGCGCTGCATTTTCACGATACTTATGGACAGGCTCTCGTCAACACCATTGTAGGGCTGGAGCATGGTATCCGCATCTTCGATAGTAGTGTGGGTGGTCTTGGTGGTTGTCCTTACTCCAAGGGTGCGACGGGGAATGTCTCGACGGAGGACCTTGTACACACCATTCATGGTCTCGGCATGCACACCGGCATCAATTTGGAGGAAATGGCCAAAATTGGATCCTGGATTAGTGGGGAGCTGGGCCGGGCTAATGAGAGCCGTGCGGGCAAGGCCATATTGGCGCGGATGGAAGAGTAAAATCAGTGCTTGCAGATAACTTTATCGTCTTGTTACATAGCAACCTTAGCCATCGTTCATAGTATTTACTGATCTTCAACCAAGTTACACACCCTAATCATTCGACGCTAACATCCATCGCTGTAGAACAACATCATGCTAGACTATTACAATAATACATAGTAAATTATCTCTCATCAAACGGCCACAACCTCTCCGCCTTCTCCACCGTCATTCCCTGCTCCCCCTTGTCCTCAAACCCCCTCGCCGTCTCAATCCACTCATCATAAGCCGCCCGATGAACATCCTTAGCCGCATTCCAAACATCATTCGGAACCCAGCCATCAGAATTCGTATTTAAAGAGTGTTTGAGCCACAGCTTGAGACTCTGCACCGCTTCAAAGTCCTCATAGTCCTTAGCATGCTTATTACGTTCTTCGTCGGTAAGAGAATACGGGCACGTCCCATGCAAACCCAACTCAGACCACCGATCCGATAGCTCAATCAGTTCTTGACGGATAGCAGTCGCGCTATCTCTCCAGGTTGTGTGGGTGTAGTGGAAGAGTCGGAATAAGGTCGGATCGAGCAGCCTTGCGGGTCGAAGTTTAGGGGTTAGACCTTTCAAGCATACGTCGTATGTCTGATAACAGATCGAGGCATCTTTCCGCTCTTTCTCTGTTTGGAGTGAGGTGGATTCGCCTTCACTGTTTCCGAATATTTCTCCTTCGATGTCTTGAGGAGGAGTGGCAAAGTCGGGAGTCTCGTTGGCATAAATGAAAGAAGGTTCGATGCTTGTTGATTGCCAGTCTATTAAGCCAGTGATGACAGTAGGATCTTCTGCTGAGACATATATGTTCCTCTTGTGGAAGTCAGGGTGCACTAGGGCTGGCGCAGCAGCATCCTGGACGCGCTTATCTTCGATAAGCCTCTGCATCACTTTTTGGCTTGTACGGAGCAATTGAACGTGATCTTGAATCGACCCTTGGTGTGGGAGGCTATGCTTGGCATTTTCTTCATTCGGTAGTCGAGAGAAGCCGGTCTCAATCAGACCTGTGCAATATCTTGTGAGGTCACGCCCTATATTGACACGCTGTGTTAGAATTGGGCGTAGTGTATGAGGGTACGAGACTAACGAGGACCGCAGTCAGGACTTGGTCCTCCGTAGAGTTCCAACTCTCCTATGCCCCTGTTCCAGAAGACTGGACTGCAGTGCGGCCCAATACAGAACCCTTGTTCGAAGGGGATCTTCAAGTGCGCTTCAAGAGGCGCATCAGCAAAGTATAGACTTCCATAAGCTGGGAAGTCCAGAGACGCCATCTGCTTGATTGCCGTCGACAAGGCTTTGGTGCAAAGCATGTGTTGCTCCGAGTTCATGTGAGGCCAGATCTGATGAAGTTGCACTCCTTCAACATACTCCTGGACGATATACTCAGTGCCGATCGGATTAGCTGGATAGTCACTCCAATCTAGGGCTTTGGGTATTGGAAGTGACAGCTTGGATCGTACTATATCATCGAAATTATCAGTACTTTATACAAGTTGTATCATGCAATAGAGGGTCAGGTCCAATCTTACAATATGTCATTGTCGCAACTTCGGAGTTGGTTGTCAACCATGAAGGGCCAGCAATAGCAGTCGGCAGCCTTGCTACGATACGAGAGCCTGTGTCCATGGTAAAGATAAAGACTCTATTGAACCCACCATCTTTCTTTTCGTACTTGGCGACCTTCGTTGCACCTGGACTTAGATGAATAACTCTGTCACAGAGGGCAGGGAAGTTGAACTGTATGCGGCGACAGTCTCGCTGGAGTTTGTCGCGATGCAGCCATCTTCCTCCGGTGTATGTGTATGGATCGTCTTCTTGCATTGATGGTTAATAGCGACATAATTCTGCTACAGAGTGAGGTATACCCACTAGGAGGTTCTTTTGAGGGTTGGTGATCAAGGAAGGGGTGTGACGACGGAGTGCTGTATTTATTTCCACATTCAGATAATTGCCGTTGCTGCGAGCGAGAGGATCGCAGAGACTGTATGACTGATAAAAAGACTCCTGTTCGTCGCAAAGTCCGGCGCATGGTCTCGCGTGGTTTGCTATCTCCTGATAATTAGCCCATATGGAAGTGGTTGCTACTACTAGTTGTTGACTACTATGTCCTGCTCCCTATCAGAAGCCCGGGCCCGATGTAGTACTCTTAGTACTGCTGCCATGCACCAATCAGGCAGGACCGAAAGACACCCGCAGACCACCATTAATTACTCCTTGAAGATTCAATAAGAAAGTAGAGTATTTACACTCTGGTCAGCAAATATATTTACTATTGGTATTTAATTTCCCGTGCTTTGCTTGGCCAATAACAAACCGGCCCAATTCGCTGCAAAGCACTGATCTTGTGTGTAGACCAGCAGGTAAAGAAACATATGTAAGAAGACTTCATCGACAGTAAATCAGCGATGTATTCACAACTGACCATGCAAGATCAAGGGCTTTCGAAACATGATTCAATGCCGAGATAATATACACATATAGCACAGGACGAGAGAGGAGAGGGGGAAGAAAGAGCTCTATAATCATTATACAATCAATAACCAACGCCACTCATGCAAACAGGCACCAAATTCAGCCTCCACATGCACCTTATTTTATATATATCAACATCCACGGACATTGAACAGAGAAATGACATCTCAGTCTCTAGAAATCCGTAACCCGTCCACCATAGCTCCAGTCACCCTCAGCACCCCACCTCAGAGGCTCGTTCTTCGGTCCACCAATCTCGCCAGTCTTGGGGTTCTTCTCTCCTTCAAACTCAGGCTTCACTCCATACTTCACATCGGGATGAAGCTCCTCGCCCTTGCCGGTGGCGTTGATCTCGGCTGCCACTGCGGGCTCTGAGTCGGGCGATTGGTTGATTTGCGGGGTGCTGAAGGCGCCGGTAGACTTGCGCTGGAGCTCTTCGAAGATTTCTTGCTCCTCTTTAGGGAGACGCGGAGGAGCCGGACCGCTAGCAAATGCGAAGGGAGGCTTGTCGGAGAGGAGGGCCGCGCGGGTTGAGAAAGCGCGGAGAGGGAGGGAGGATTTGGCGGGGAGACGATTTGCGGTGCGGAGGAACATTGTGATTGTTGGATATTTTCCCGTTTTATCAAGAGGTATATCGGAGGAGGCTAACCCCTGTGGTATAATGTAGTCTTGCTTGAAGATGGTGGAGAGTTGGAGAAAGAAGATGCGGAGTGGCGGAGGTCGGGACGGAAGAAGGAAGAATCGCGATGGCAGAAAGCATTACCCGATAAGCCCTGATCGTCCCGATAGCAGTCGGCCTTTCTGCCGGGTGTATTGCGCCCCCGGCGGTGAGCTGGATGGACAGTAAGCCATGAGAGATGGATGCCTTGATGGCTCGTAAGTGAAATTAGTCTGAATGTCTGGTGGTTCTGCTCACTCTAATTTCCATTGTATGCATGTTTCATATGCGATACCGCGTGATAGAATCGAGTGCCGACAACTACTACTGCATTGAGTAAGGCGTCACGTGGGACCGCTCTTTCTGGGCGGATGAGCGTGACACGCTTACCATCCTTCAGGTACCTACCAAGTAACTACCACGTTCACCGTCAATCCGTATCGCCATGAGAATGCCCCATTGCAGCCTATCTACTCCCTGATCGTACTGAAAACTGTGATCAGTCCTGCTGTATTCATTCTGGGACGTTATTTGTAGCATACTAGAACCATTCGAATTCCTTCCTTCCCCTGTTATGTCTTCTGCTCCTGACGGGCAACCAATGCTGCCTCTTCCTGGAGCCCCGTCTTCTTCATGGTCCCGATTTCGTGAGAGATTCGGTGCATTGTTTCATGGCGCTGACCCCAGGGTCTGTGTTGCATTCTGGCTACTTGGTAAGCCGTTGGCTGTCTTGTAGACTCCGCGAACTGATAAGAACTCTTCGTGGCTCACTAACCGGCATGCGTGAAACCCAATAGGCTTGATCAACAATGTCCTCTATGTTATCATTTTGTCCGCTGCCCTCGATTTGGTAGGGCCTAGTGTCCCCAAGGGCGTTGTTCTTCTCGCAGATGTCATTCCCTCATTCGGAACGAAGCTGATTGCACCCTACTTTATCCACTTGGTTCCATATCCTGCTCGGGTATTATTCTGTGTGCTATGTTCAGCTCTGGGTATGCTTTTAGTGGCCTTGAGCCCAGCCTATACAGATGGCGGTTCAATCTCCACCAAAATCGCGGGTATCATTCTAGCGAGCTTGTCGAGCGGAGGAGGCGAACTGAGCTTCCTCGCATTGACGCACTTCTACGGCCCGTTTAGTTTGGCAGCCTGGGGTAGTGGTACCGGAGCTGCCGGGCTGGTCGGTGCTGGTGCATACGCCGTTGCAACTACCTCTATGGGACTCAGTGTCAAGTCGACGCTCCTAGCAGCTGCCTGCCTGCCAGCGATCATGGTGGTGAGCTTCTTCGCCATTCTGCCAAGAGCTCCCATACGGACATTGCCTGCTCCACATGTGGAGTATCGTGCAATTGACCAGGAGGATCGGGATCGGGATGACCCTCTGGATGAGCGGCACGGTCTACTCGGCTCGTCAGTTTCCTCAAGCCGAAACAAAGGGAGCGATGCGACTCAAATTCTTAGCTTGCGGGCATTTAAAGCCAACCTGCAGCGAGCTAGGGGTCTTTTCTTTCCCTTGTAAGTGCACGCTAGTGTCATTAAGCAACGATTTGCATGCTTACTTTTTCCCGCACAGTATGCTCCCCCTGCTGCTAGTCTATGTGGCCGAATACACGATCAATCAAGGTGTCTCTCCAACCCTTCTGTTTCCACTTAAAGATTCGCCGTTCGAGCATTACCGTGCATTCTATCCCGCGTACAATGCGATCTATCAGGTTGGTGTTTTCATCTCACGATCGTCGACCCCATTTTTCCGCATTCACGATCTCTACCTTCCGTCACTGCTGCAGATCATCAATCTGGCCGTATTGACATTGAACGCCTTATTTGACTTCATCCCGAGCGTGTACATAATCTTTATAATCATCTTTTGGGAAGGGCTGTTAGGGGGACTGGTGTATGTTAATACTTTCGCCGAAATTGGGGACCGGGTACCGAAAGAGGACCGCGAATTCTCACTCGGAGCGACAACTGTCAGTGATTCCGCCGGAATTTGTATAGCGGGATTTCTGGGAATGGTGTTTGAGGTCTGGTTGTGTGATTGGCAGGTCGCCCACGGTCGCGACTATTGCCGGAAACTATGAGGAGAAGTAGAGGAGCCTAGAAAGATAAGGGGGAATAAATGCTATACCATCATAATTTATCTATAATATCTATGATATATATTATAGATGGGAATCCCTCATGCATCATTAGCTTCCGTAGAGGCATTTCGGAAATGCCAGAAGAGGAATGGCACATGAGTTGTTTCGTGGCGGGATTTGCATGTGACCGTGCTCTCCCGTGACCCGGCACGGGCAATACTCCGCCTTTTCCCTTCGCCCACAACAAACTATTCCTCCGTACTATCCTGCTATCCATGATCCATCATTCAGCTAGCCACCGCGGAGGGCCATCAGTGATCGACGCCAAACCCGGCTTTTGGGCTTCTGCCACACAAAACCCCGGCTATTCAAGGCTGCTTACTGACGCTACCCAGATGACTGGATCACCATGCATTCCCTGGTGGGGAATTCACATGCATCAACTACGTTTCTTCAGCTGAACCATGGTTTCCCTCACTCTACACCAACTAACTACTCTCTGTCTTTTCCCCCACACACCCCGTACTTGGGTCACCGAACTGTGCCATTATTGATATCCTTCGATCATAAACAGGCTAGTGTTCTGCTTGCCAGCTGCTCACCTGTTCCTCTTTTACAGTGGTTCGCCGCTTTTGTCCATTCTTTGTCCTTTCCTTACTGCCCCTCCCATCATTCCAGTGCACAGTTGAAATATGAATTTTTCCATTTGATTATCTTCCACTATTTCTCTTCCGTATACTTTTAAGCATCTTGTATATTTCATAGATTGTCTTTCGAAGCCCTTATAGACCGCTGCTGCCTGATTCATACCCGGGGTTGTCTTGGGAAAATGATAGGTAACTGACTGCCCAGCGAACCCCATGGAATGTCATAGTCTGCTGCTAATATATACATCCAGATCACGTCCTTGGGCGGCCATCTACAAAGTTCCGGAAGATCCAGGTTCTTGCTGTACTTGTATTTTGGTCTACCTATCTATTAAGGTGCGTTTCGATTGTTCGTCTCTTACCGCTGTTTTGCTGACAGATCAATCGTAGAGGAAACAAGAATGGTCCTCCTTTTATCCGCAAGATCTCGTCGCGCCTCTCGAAAAAGCTGAGCGTCTGGCAAACCACTGTCCTTGTATTCCTCTGGCTCTACATTTGCCGCAATTTTGCGAAAATTGTCGGCCTTGAGTGCCCTGAGCCTTTAGCCAACCTATACTCGCGCTCCTTTTTCCGGGCAACATGGATCGCGACAGGATTAGACGCTGGGTTCTGGACGGCAATGGGGATAAAGCCAAAGTGGCTACGAGATATTGCGTCTCTGGTTTTCTCTGGTTATTACCTTATCGCAGCAGAACAGGCAGATGAGAAAGTTCGCCGGGTACGTGCTACACTCACAGTAGAGCACATGCGTGTGTCTTGGAATAAGAGCACCACACCGTATCTCTGGACACTCGCCAAATTGGGCCGCCCGCGGCTCACGAGGTACCCTCCGCGTGCCATCCGGATCCCGCGACCAGCGTCCTCGATCTACAAGGAGCCGACAAATGCATGGCTTTACTTCGATGGGTCATTGACTGCGCTACGTGATCAAACATGCATTGTCCTTGATATTCCTGGGGGTGGATTTGTTTCGATGAGCCCTCGGCATTCCGAAGACCGACTTCTGGCCTGGGCGGCGAGAACCAAAGTTCCCGTACTGAGTCTTGACTACAAGAAAGCACCGGAGTACCCGTATCCGTATGCTTTAAACGAGTGTTATGATGTATATCATTCCATTATCTCCACCCGTGGGCGGTGCTTGGGCCTCAACGGACGGACTCGTCCTCGTGTCGTCATCACTGGTGATAGTGCTGGTGGTAATCTCGCCACAGGCGTTACACTTATGATCCTTCAATCCGGCAGTACACATGCCTCTAGATGGCAAGGACAAAACATGCTTCCACCCCCGGACGGGCTGGTTCTACCCTATCCCGCGCTAAACATGAAGATAGAAAGCTGGATGACGGAAGAGCAGATGGCGTTGATCCAAGAGAAAAGCACACGTCGAACCAACGAGAGCGTGCTCCGAAGGAAAGATATGGACTATCACCGGTTGACGCCGTTCACTTCTCCGGGAACGTCGTTCGGAGATTTCCAGCGTGACTCTTTCTCTGATGCAGACTTGGAAGTTGGAAATTTGGTTGACGCGACCTCGGAGAAGTTGGCACAGCAACAGAAGATGGAAATTCCTGAAAATGAAGCGGCTGCTATCACTGAGCACCAGCCTAAGCAGATCCAAACACGGCTGGCCGTCTCATCGATGATATCGTACGTCAATGATCGTATATTAACCCCTGAGATGATGAGGGCAATGATCATCCTATATATCGGACCGCACAACCGCCCCGACTTCAATACGGACTACCTACTCTCCCCAGCCTTGGCTCCCGAAGACCTCTTAGCACGCTTTCCCAAGACGTACATTATCACCGGAGAACGTGACCCTCTAGTCGACGACACGGTCATCTTCGCCGGGCGACTAAGGCAGGCTAAGCTCCGCCAGTTTCAGGAACGACAAGAACTGGGCCTCGAAAAGTCTTATCGCAGGTTTAACGCAAAAGACCACGTCGAGGTATCCCTATTGCCCGGAATCTCTCACGGGTTCATGCAAATGGCAGGCTTCTTTCCGGATAGCTGGAAGCACATCTATCGCTGCGCAAGTTGGATTCAAGATCTATTTGATCTCGCGCAGGTTAAAAGATCATCCTCTGGTTATACCAAGGCCCTCGCCAACGGTACACAGATACCAAAGGGACCTAAGTCCGTTCCTCGCGGAAATAACTCGCGCAATCATAGACGCCATCTCACCGGAGAGTCATCCGGCGACGAGGATAGGCCTCTCGAGATAGGCATCAAGAAATTGACACCACTGACGCCACTGCATCGCAGCTCCAGCGCCCCCATCGACAGTACCGATATTGATAGTCAAGCTATCGCTGCCAAGGATGGTGACAGCGAGGATGCTAAAAAGGAACGCATTCGTAGCGTCTCCCGAGGGCGAACTCTGCGACCAGGAATCACCAAGAAACAGCGTCCCATACCCATGAGGTTAACGATCCCTCCTCGAGACGGATATATCTCTGGATCGCCGAGTCCTGTTCCTTTGCGGGAGAGAAACCGAAGTATCAATAGCCTTGCCAGCGAGGAAGACCTGATTGACCGGCGCATGAATGGTATAGCTGGAGGGTTGATGGGAATTGGCGAGGGTGCCAGGACGCCTTAGCTACGGCATTTGGAGGATGTGTATGCATTGAGATCGACTTTTTTGAGCTTATATAGATACCTCACTACACTTGAGCATTTAGCGACAAAATATACCTCATGTAAAACGTTTTTAGACTTAGCAACTGTAGGAATTAGATACAGGCAGTACTAGTCATCATATGACGAACAGGAGGCTGTATGTTTAATATCGGTTATACGCGGGATTCGGATGGAACCGTAGTAAGTCCCTTAACTGAATCCACGTGGTGTACATGCATGATACACCGCATACCCTATCCTATATTTTCCTTTTTCCTACCGATCTACTTATGTACAAGTCATTAGACCCTCATTGATACATCATCTCATCTCATATATGCACGCATTCCCATCTGAAACCATCCAACCACGTCCTTGTCATCTATCTTCATCAACTAAAGTTAAGAGGTGTAGTCCCCCTTCGCGGAAAGACTATCAATTCTACCAAGCAGGAACTCCAACTGGCGGTAAGCCGCACCAGGAACATACTGCGGGATTTCTATCACGAAGGGAAAAACAGTCAGCACATTTCAATATTCATCAAACTATGTTCCAAGGGGATAAGATGAACTTACCATGACCAGACAAATACACCGAGCTGAAAGTCAACCCACGCTCAGTATGCGCCGTACCCAGGTATCCAGCACCCGCATCAAGGTTATACGGGTCGGGCTCATCGCCCCAGTACAGCTCAGCCAGACCGTAGTGGTAAGGAACGAAGAGCGGTTCCACCGGGGGACTCTGGAACCCTTGCTTACCGTTCCAGGTCATGTTCTGAATAGTGGCGAGGGAGCCGTTCAAAAAGAGGAGGTAATCGAGCCAGCCGTGGCCAATGATGGTGTTGTTAGTGCGTTCGATGACGCTGGGTAGGGGACCCCAGGAGCTGGGGTCGCTGCCGTCGCCGTTGGCGAAGATGACGGTCTCCGAGCATACGGAGTAGTCGGTCGGAGGGACATGCAGGATCTTCTGGACGTCGGAGCGGTTGAAGTAGTTGTCTGGGCCGAAGCCGAGGGAAGGGAAGCCGAGCACGTCCCACAGGTAGGGGCAGAAGTCGATCAGGTGGTAGTAGTTGAAGCAGGGGTTGATGTCGTAGGCAGCCATGACGACTTCGTCCCAGACTTGGCAGTCTTCGGTGATTTCGGGGGCCGTGGGGAAGGGGGTGGGAGGGGGGTAGGTGATGGCTTTGTCGAGGAAGGCGTTGTAGCCGCACTTGTCGGCTTTGGCGTTGATGTAGGAGAGGAAGGTGGAGTTTAGTCGGAAGATGTTGTTGTAGTGGTTGAGATGGCGGACGGCCGGGGCTGGTGGGTGATGTGGTTAGTGATGGTGTTGGTGGTGGATTATGAGGTATATGAGGGGTAACGTACAGTACATCATCACCGAGTCGCTGTTGATGGACGGGTCGTTGATTTGGATACCCTTCAAGTTGAAGTAGGTTGTATCCTCCTCGTTCAGCATGGCGTCGGCAATATAAGGAACATACATGCCCGCATAGCTTTCGCCGGTGATGTAGACCTTGCGGCCGTGCAGGTCGAAGGTGTCGACAAAGTGCTTGAACCAGCTGTTGAACTGGGCAGCCACGTCTTCCTCGTCGTTGACGGTCGAGGGGCCAGGGGAGAAGCCCGTGCCGGCGGGTTGGTCAATGTAGACCACGTTGGTGAGGTTGGTCCATGAGTATGGATTAGGGACGGGTTTGTAAGTGCCGGGCTGCCAGAGGAATGGGCCGTTCTCTTGAAGCAGGCCGTCTAGGGAGCTACATCCGGGGCCGCCATTGAGCCAGATAGTGATCTTTGTCAATTGTTAGCCCGCTGAGGCAGGACCGAGAGAACGGAACAACTACTAACCTCATCGCTGGCGTCTGGGTTCTGCGAGGGGAAAAACCAGAAGAACAGGCTGGAGTTCCCAGTCGGTGTATTGGGAAGAAGACCGGCGTAGGACTCGCCGACGTCGAAATCGACTTCGGGGATGCTTGTGCCATTGACGAGGAATCCTGCAATTGATATTAGTAAGACGGAGATTTGCGGCTGGAGACGAGATGACGTACTTGCAGTCTTGTTTGTTAAATACTCAAAGTCGTTGGATCGGCGCTCAACGGGCACGGCGCGAGACGCTACACTGCGATGTGTGAGAGGAGGCGGAACAGCCCGACGGTGAGGATTTTGGAGACTGGTGGCCGTGCCGACCAGTAGCAAAGAAGCAATTGCCGACGTAATCCGCATATTGATGACTCTCTCGAGAGATCAGTGTGAGAAAGAACTCACTTGAGCGGAGGATTTTGAGAAATTCATCCATCGTCGGGGCATGCATGGTCCCTATTTATGTAGTTCCCCCGAGGCAAGGACGGCCCTTTTCGCACATTAGGCAGCATTGCTAACAATGGAGCCATCTCATGCAGAAGCGAGGGAATTGCGTGTGGGCTCATTGAGAAACTCTCCCTATTCAGGCAGGTCTCCGCTTGATTTGAGAGGGGATTAAGAGGAGGCCGTCGGAGAGCCGGACGGGGTCTGGAGAGAGGTAACGTTGGCCCGCAGTTGAACTGGTCGGTGGAAGCATCGGATCTGCAGGAAACTGGATACTGACATCGACTAGGCAATCTAGTCGCGGAACGCGCCTGCGAATCACGGAACGAGGCTATATGACGAGGAAATTGGACTGTATCCACTCGCCAGGATGTAGGTTTGAGGTTACCGGTAGCTGCTCACTCAGGACGACGTCGAGTGACTGGCCATTATCAGGGCAAATTATGATGTGCTGATACCGGGTCGGGGGATATGCAGGGATACTAACTAACCGACGCAGGCTTCCTGCACTTCCATATTGTCATGACGCCATAACCACGCTTCGCGTCGGCTTCGCAAAGGCATCCCGCCAACACTGAAAGGTTCAATATTATCCCAATCTTCACGTTGTTGGTCCCTTAGGGTTGGGTTATTCCCACGAACCACCGAGACAACCCGTGGCCCACGAGCGTACCAATCACCGACCGAGAACCTAGTGTGTGGAACCCTATCGTACCTATCTCAACAGTAAGCTTCAGTAGTACACGAGCTGAGCTGGCGAAAATGGGGAACGAAAATGGTTCCCAACGCACTATACAAACAATTCTCCGAAACATAGTTAGGACCGGCTGGACTCGGCCAACAACAGTCACATACTGCGGGAGCATACCTTGAGCTTAGATAACAAGTCAATATGCTCATGTGAACGCAGAACCTTTCCCGAGATGTCGTCTCCGTAAAAGTTGGTCATTACTGGCTGCAAGTTTCCATCATTTAGGCATTGAAGCGATCCGGGTATCCACTGGCTCTGTCACAAAGAATAATACCTCTGAAAATGTGATATTGTGGCCTGCATGCAGCGATGGACAGCGTGGTTGGCTGATATTCAACAGTTTCAGGCGATGCGCGTGATGCCTGCAAAATCCAATTGTGCCCTGCTGGCTGCTGTTCAGACCTGCAGGCCATCATAGGAGCTGTCTCAAGACAATACATATCTGATTCGGTCTTTGTCAATAAGATTGAACCTAATCTGCCAGGAATTGCATCGTAATAGTGATAGACAGAGGGGAATTAGATCGAGAATTTAGAGAGCGTCTGAAACCCGCAGGAGTAGGAGGGGGCAGCGATGGCGAAAGCAAGTCTGCTACGCTCACATGACGCTGCGAATGGGACAAACCACGGCCTTTTCATATTATCACTTATTTTCCTCTTTAGAAGACACCTGAAGGCATGGAGCTATTAGTCTCGAGTTGACCAACCGCCCCCACCGCCTTCTTATTACCAGTCTATAGTGCTCTGATTATCTCTTATGTATGGAAAGGGCGATTGCGATGTTTGAGATTTTGAATCGTCCATCGTATACTGACATCTCTAGTCCTGCGGGGGTAAGGAAAGGACATTCTTGTGTCTCGAGTATCGTGTCAGCCTGGATTTCTCGCTAACAATGATATTAATAACTGCTTCAATGGGTCAACCTAGTTGCAGAATATATTTTGATGCCTTGAGGTCATGGGAGAGAGGATGTACTATCCGGCCGCTCAGCCAAGCTCCCCAAATCACAGCGTCGGTAGGAAGCAAATAATCGGAGGCTTGTAGAAGATGATGGGCATTTCGTCAAATTTGACGTCTTCCGTGAAAAAGCAAGCACACTTCTAAACGATCCCGAGTCTTGGAAAAAGCAATCGCATTTATCGATTGGCTCGCAGCTGTACGCACTCGATCGTCTATCATGTAGGGGAAGAATGCCCTAGATCGGCAGTTCACTTATTGGCGAAGTGCCTGGCTGGTGGCATGCCGCTCTGTTGACGTGAACTAGAACATACGAACCGTCTTGATGTTTACGACCGAAGAAATTGAGACCAGGAAAGTTCCGGGGCAGAAGTTATCTGAACCGCAGCTTCGGCTTCAAAAACGTCTTTATGGAGAAGAACACGCTGCAGGAAAAGGCCCATAAAATACCTTTTCCTGACTTGATGCGGAACGAGAGACTCCCAGCAATCCTACGCTGATTACAGAACCGTATACGCAACGAAGCCCATGGTGCTAGCTTACTCGGCTTATTTCTATCTGAGGGGAAACCGCAGTATGCATCCTTGCCGGTTTATTGTATGGAAAGTACTATGGACTTGATCATTTGTGTGAGATCGAGTGACGCTCGAGCCCGCTGCCCTGAATGAAGTCCCAACCCAAAATTGTCTACTATATCTGTTACTGACAGGCAACATGACGACTTCGATGAACCAAATGGAGCGATAGGTGCATGCCGTATCGCCGCAGAACCGGAGATGATTGAAAATCTAAGTCCGAAGCGCGACACGTTTGACGGGGTAAGAAGAATATGCCTTTTATCTTCTCCCATTTGATTGCGTTAATCCAGCCCCGGTGGCGCCCCGTGAAGCGCTTTACGGTCATCAAGTTGTCCCTGGGATAGTTGCGGCTTCATAGAATCGCAAGCCAGTAGAGGAAGTCATTGCGCTGCGGTCGA